ATCTTTTTTAACCAGGCTGTAAACATATTAATTTCTGCTGTCAAAACAGATGTTTTAATATGGGGTGTGTATGGGGTTTCAGGGTGTGTTGGAGCAAGCCTCAAGTGGACACTCAAGGAACTGCAGTTGTTTTGCCCATCCGCATTGGCTTTATTTTTCAGCACCACAGGTTGCGGCTTGGACATCAGACAAAGCGCACAAAGATGTTGCATCCTTTTTGGTCAGTAATGTGACAAACTGAGCTGACTATCTGAAAACAGTAATTATAGAGACTATTAATGTGACTATCAATGAATTCAAGTGTCAGAGAAATACTTGTAGTCAAAGAGTCCAGCTGGCTTCTGGAGGGGGTCAGCTGATTAAAACTCAGCTGAAATAATTGTGTCCATCCATTCTTGGTTATAATGTTTATACAGTATTCTGTATATTGTGTATAATGTGCACAAAATAAAGAAAAACATCTGTAGACAGTTGAATTAGTTCCACAGTGAATGAAGGTGAAGCCCTCCTCAAAGAGACGAATAAGCATTATTGTGAACTGTTAATCCAACAGCAGCAATAATGATTGTCAGCAACATTTGAATTGATTTGCTGGCCCCCTGTTTGACTTGCAAATCTCTCTCTTAATCACTGTGTTTTGTTCAGATAAACAGGGATTAGTTTGATTAACAGCATAACATTATCTCTAAACATTTAAACTCTGTTGGCATTGGACATACAGGCTTTGATCAACAGATTAAGGATACAGTTCAAAACACTGAATAGATTTTTTTATTTATGCAAATCATTTCTTTGAAATTCCTTGAAAAAGTAAGCTATAGCTTAACTGGATTGTCTCTGACATCCATTAATGATATTTATCATATCTGATGTTATTTTGCATCCTTATTTTCATGACTCCTCTGATCCTCACACTCCTCCCACACTTGGTATTTTCTCTTTTTCTTTTAGCTTTTTGTGTGGAGTAAGTTGAGTAATTAAGTCACAACTAAGAATCTATATCAGTGATAATGTATTGACAGATGTGGCAGAATAATAAACAATATAACCCTTAAACGAAAGACGTTTCATCCACTGAGGTCTTCCTCCACGAATGTGATCAGCTCTCACCACCAGAGCAATGTGGCTGATTGCTCTAATATTGTTCATTTAAATAATGTCAAGTCATGATTAGAAGTGAAGATGGTGACATGGCCACAATGGTTAGGGAGGAGACAGCCATATTTTTATATAAAGGTGATTTCATTAAAATTAATTCCTTGCAAGGTTAAATCCCTTTGTGATGTCTCTGTCCCGTATATCATGTTTCTGTGTGGGATCATGTTAAGTCTGCGATCAGCCTGGTCGTATGACCTGCATGCTTTCAGCCAGGTAGAGACAGGTGTGCAGGAGGCGTAGCCTGGGGAGAACAAAGGGAGAGAGAGAAATGTTTGTTGGGGTTTTTTTTTGACTCTGGGAAGAGGGCAAGGGACAGCTGCTGGAAGGCTAGTTTTCTTGGGGAAGAAACAGTCATGGGCTTCTTTTTTTTACAGTGTTTCCTCCTCCACATGAGAAGATGACATGTGTTGAGGAGGACCGTGGACACTGAGGACAATTCAGGAGTCTGAGGGCCGGTCATGACGAGACCTCAACTGCAGGACCAGTGAGTGCTGATTCAAGTGGATACCTTTTTCTTCATCTTTTTGCAGACATTTTTGCAATGCATTGCTTTCCATGTTTTTGTTTGCTGGGATTACATCTTTTGAGTTTTTGAGGTTTTTTCCCTTGGAACTATATGGATTACTGAAGGGTTTCCTGTATTGGAATTTGAACATTCAAGGTGGACAAAATTGTTTTCCAATGACAGTTTATTTTTGTAGACATCGGTGTTCAAATTGGCGATAAAGCGTACATTTAATTTTCTCATGTTTTGAATTATTTACTAACCGGGTCGCTCCCTGTTTCTTCACCATATCCCTTCTTGTTTAAGTTTCTAACCAGGTTGTAGCATTATTTGCAGCAGAGTTGAATTAATAAGTATAACTTTTGCTTTACAATTAAGCTGATTGTGGTAAGGCTAATCCAGAAATGTCATTTTTATCTGGTTACATTAAGTTAGGCTTGATCCATGACGCCACACATCTTATGTGTGATGTAAGTTCTGATTAAATATGTGAAATACAAGTCAACTACACATTTAATTCACACAGGTTGATTAGCTATTTGTTTATTTTATCAATAACTTTGTTTTTGTGTTCACATTTTATAAAGTTAAATCAAACTATTTGGATTTTGAGATTTAGTTAAAGGTCACATATTATACTCTCCGCTTCCCAAAACATGTCTGTGAAGTTTCTTGAAATGAATCCACTCTGCTGCTGTATTTTACCATGCCTTTAAACCCCTCTATTTCAGCCCTGCTCAGAACAGGATGTTTCTGTGTCTATAGCTTTAAATGAAAATGAGCTGTGTGACCTCTCGTGTGTCTGGGGCTGTTTTAGGGCATGTTGATAAAGCTTACAGAAAGGGATGCCTGATAGTATGTCAGATTGATTGCCTACATTAGTTTACATACATTTAGAAAATTCTAAAAAAAAAAAAAAAAAAAGGAAACTCATAGGATAAGTTAGAGTCACATCCATGTGTTATCCGGTGTGGCTCTGTGGCCTCCTCCCTCAAACATCTCCACTGAGCTGCTCTCTCAGCCTCCTGCTTCACTGCCCCAGTGGTTTGTTATTCAGTGTTTGTCCTGTCTTCCACTTTGCTGCCCTCAACTTTCCCTTTTTCACCCTAAAATATTGACTCAGATCAGCCTCTTCTTCAATACCAACAGAGATGCCTCATGTTAGGTTTATATATCAGATAAGTTGATAACATCAGTGTGTGTTTCTACTGTAGTTATTCAGCAAAAAAAAGCACTGCAAATAATAAAATCAGTGGCTGCGAGGAACATGTAGAGTCTGAGTGGTGGTGTGTGTGTTTTTCCAGTACCGAGCATTCATCAGCTAATTTATCATCTCAACAGCTCACTTACATCTGCAAAGTCATCCGAGAAAAAATCAGACAAAACTGCTCCACTAGATGTGAAAGTGATTTGATTGCTGGCTTGGTATTTGTCTGGATACTTCAAATTGTCTGAACATCTCGACTTTGGTTGACTGTACTGCAGCAGACAGATTCTCAGTGTAAAGAGGTTTGCAACGTTAGTGTTCTGGGTAACGGGCTACAATTTAGCGAACTGTCACAACAAAACAGGTTACAGGAAGTAAGCATCTATAAAAAGAATTGTAACAGAGTAATTCAGCGTTAAGTGGCTCAAAATGCTCCAAGACAAACTCGGCCCATAGTAAGTATCTGATGGACATTCTGAGGTACAAAATCACATCTCCTCTGAAACAACTATCCATAGTTTACTAAATACAACAACATCAAGCTGTAACCATGATATTTAGTCAAAGTTCATCCGTGCAGCTGCAGCATGTGTCTCACAGACAGAGCCTTTGCCATTCAAAGTGTCCCAGACATGAACACATGGAGCACATTATAAAAATCCAGACAAGAAAAATGTAAACTAAAATACAGTTGGTTAAAGACAACTGGTGGTTTTGATCATTGTAAGCTATAGTAAGTAGTATAATCTTTAATTAATTAAATATAGCCTAAATGAGCTTATATTTTCAGTCAAGGTACATTTTTGGAAGAAAAAAGAAATCAGAGTAGGGTGTCATAGGAAAATGTTTGTGAAAGATGCAACACTTCCAAGTGTTCGCTGGCTTGGAAAAACTCAAGGGATTCTTTTTTTCTAAAGGGATTTCCTCGCGCAATCATTTAGGTATGCTCTTATTTCAAAAAGTGAAATGTGCATTAACCGATCCCTGTTTGCTATAAAAAAACAAAAAAGACAAGAATCCCTTTGAAAGAATATTATTTCCCCAAAGTGATGAACCGTTATAATAATGATGAATGTGTTGTATTATTCAGCGACTAGTCATAAAGATCAGTGTTATGGATTTTAAATGGGCCAATCAGGTGTTTCTCATGGAAAAAATGGCAGTTACTATTGGCAAAAAAAATGTCGGCAGAAATGATTTCTACAATAACTATTCTCCAATCAGACGATAGAGTGAAGAGAACTCAAAGTGCAAGATTCACTGTGCATTCATTTGGCAACAATTTATTTGCATTTCTTTTTTTTCTTATGAGGACAGTACAAATGAGCACAGTGAGGAACCACATCCATAAAACAGCTACAAAAGTTTGGTTAGTTTGCATTCAATCAATCAAGAGCTTTTTTTCTTTTTTCTTTTTTTTTTTTTTTACAATGCTGAGATCCAAAGCCCTGAATACTGGAGCTTTAAGTAAACAGTTGACTGTACTGCTTGAATCGTGTCACATTAAAGTCAGATCCTTTTGAAGGCAAACATGTTGGTTATCAATTGGTTGAAAGAGAATGGCGAACAAACAAATATATATATATATATATATAAATAAATAAACAAAAACAATGTCTGGACAGTCCTGAGAGAGGTTTTTGGTCAAATGTATTGAATATGACAAGAATAATCTTACATGAGCTCATGGATGACGCTGCATGTATCAAATACTGAAGGCAATGAAATAAATCTCTACCACGCTTCTTTATGTCAACAAATTCAAGACAAACTATGTCACATTATGTGGCATAAACGGTTTTACAAACAGTAAATAAAACACTTTCCGCTGCCTATCCATGTGTTTGTTTATTGCTTGATCAATGAGGCCCAGCATTCTCAGTGTTTGAATGAGTCAAATTCACATGGACTATTTAAAAACAATCTATTGATCGGCAAGTCAATAAACAATTATACCAACGTACAAATATAGAGATTTATAAATAGTTAAATAGGGCTTAACAGAAATGCAAGCAAATAAATAAATAAATACATAAATAAATAAATACATAATAAATAAATAAATGTACATTTAAATAAGGAAAAAAAAAACCTCCTTAGAATGCATTGATTTGCTTTTAAAATAAAAGTGTGCTTTGCAGTTGGGTTTCTTCCGGGCTACCACACAGTGCCTTCGCTCATGTCTGAGGAGGTCTGTGACAGCTGGTTTGTGTATCCGTTGTCACTGAGGGACACAGAGGTAAAAGGTGTGCCGGGGCCACACATCTCACTGGAGATGCTGTGCATGGAGCCCGGCATGTTGGGCTCTGGACTGGGTGAGTCCTCAGGGTGGTGAACAGAAACTGTGTCAGAGAAACACTGCACCTCTGTAGGACAGTGGTGCCCTGGGTGGTGGTGGTGCTGGTGCTGGTGGTGTTGGTGGTGGTGGTGGTGGTCCATGGCTCCTAACGGGGTGCCCGCAGGGACGGAGGAGGGCACGTAGCCCAGGTCTGCTGGAGTCTGAGCCTGGGACGATGGAGGGCCCTGGAAGTACTCGTAATTCCCTCCTGAGCTGTAATATTCCCCCGGATAATCTGTGTTCACATAGACATCTGGATTAGTGCAAAGAATAAATAGTAGAAACATAGAAAAACTATAATAATAATTACTACTCAACTATAATAATTCGATTTTAAAAAAACTAAAAAAAACAATGAAGCATAAATAACTGAATTTTAGTAGACCTGCTTATCAAAAATAATATATTTATTAATAATTTATTTTGATAGTATACAAAATAAACGTGAGATAAAAAAAAAACACAAACATTTAGAACAATGATAACAATCGGAAAACAATCCACTTTAAATATCGATCAAACGAAAAGGCCGTTTATCTCCAAACAGATCTCACCTCCATAATAGGAGAAGTGTCCCATCTCCTCTGTCTCCAGCCTCTCTCCCAGCGCCCTCATCCTCCTCGTGCCGCGGAAGAACACGTGTCTCCGGCCGCCCAGCGAGCTCAGCTGCTTCATGCGTCTCTCTTTGGACCGCCTGTTTTGGAACCAAACCTTAAAGACATAGCGATGGATAAAGATACATAAAACCAGATTATTAGCATGAATGCCACAAGAACAAGCATAATCACTTTTCTTGTGCCTCTTGTGTTTTTTTTGTTTGTTTGTTTGTTTTTTTACAGAACTATGCGTTTCAGAGCAGCTTTTTGTGATGCGTAAAGTAAAAAAAAATCGATGATTTCATGGTAATAAAAATAATTACCTTTGGATGAGGTCAAAAATATTTATGAACCGGAAGTCAGAATAGGGATGAGTGAGTGCGTAAAATCCACTTCTGGTGCATTTTGATGTGGCTCATCAAGGGAGCGTTTGGAGGGGAAAAAATGTCTATGGAAATCCGTGCTAAGTGAGTCGTGCTTTTAAGGGTTTTAAGAGTGCAGTGGGAATAAAGATTATGGGCAAAAATAATAAAATTGAGACCATAGAAAAGGAAATGGGAACGAATCTGCAGAGCATTAAGGGCTGATTCCCCGAGGGTGTCTGCAACCCACAAATACCAGAAAGTATGTTTGTGGTATGGAAGCTATTTCCCACATGTTGGTAGTGTAACATCTGATTTTGTTTTCTGTCGTATTAGAATCATAGAGACACCTAACCTGTGTGAACTTCAATGGGGAGGGGTCCGATAATGGATGCAGGCCTATGTCGATCAAACAGCGCAGCTAAGACGCCCAAAACGTTTTTTCTTTAACAACGTGTTTTTTTTTTTTTTTGTTTGTTGTTTTTTTACCTGGATGACTCTCATGCTGAGGCCGGTGTCCCTCGACAGCTGCTCCCGGATGTGTCTGGTGGGTTTCGGCGTAGCCGCGAACGCCGCCTTCAGAGTCTCCAGCTGCTTGGCTTTGATGGTGGTCCGAGGCCCGCGTCGTTTCCCGACGCCGCTCTGCTCGTCGTTCTCGTTGTTGCATGCCTCTTTATCTGACAAGTGTCCCGATTCCGAGTCCTTGCCGTCGTCCTGCGGGTCCTGCGAGTCCGGAGACAGACTTGGGTCGCTGCATGTCGTCACTGTGGGAAAAGATACAACACATGCCGCTTATAGCCACAGTCCATGCGCGGATATTTACAGGATCTATTTCTCTGAATGACTGCCCACCTTCAAATGAAAGCACGTTTTCAATAGGCTATATCTTGAAATGTAGGCCTACTTCAAATACATTCCCCTTATAGTCTGAATTGCTCACTTTATGGGTAGGCTACACGATAGCTTACAAAAACACACACACACACAAGTAAATTTGGACTATAAATTATTTTTGTTAAGAAAGAAGAAGGGTAACACATCAACACAATAATACGAGTAAATATACATAATAATAAATAATAGGCTTATAATGATAAATACATTAATTTAATGTAAAATAAGAAAGATAGAAAATACAAAACTGTATAAATCTTCTTTTTCCCAAATAATAAAAATGAACTCTTCACCTGAGAGTAGGATTGTGTCCTTGCCATTGTTGTTCTGATAGTCCTCTTTACAGACGAACTTGAACTCGTCCAGGATGTAGAGCTCCTCGCCAGTGGACAGCTGTTTGTTACACATCACACAGGTGAAACAGTTCAGGTGGAACACTTTGCTCTTTGCCCTGCGGACCAGATCACTGGGTAGAATTCCCTGATCACAGCCGTCACACTTGGTCCCAAATATCCTGCAGAGAGGGAATGCAACAGTCAGGCCAAAGTTTCAAAACAGAGGTGCATGTGATAAAGCCTTACAATAGAAACATTTGTGATTGGTTTCCTCGTGCCTATATAACTTACAGGTAGGTTATAATGTAGTTTATATTGACTAATAATCAATAGCAAATTAAGGTTATTAAGGAGCATAAATAATGTCTCCTTTAACCTCCCATTAATAAAAATGTAATTGCATAGGAAACAATGTAAGTATAATTACTTATTATTGTCATTAGGAATGAAGGTCCACCACGTGTAATATAATCCATGTTTTGTGCTTTTTTAAAAGACTTATAATAAAGGTTTTAAGAAAAAAACATGTTTTAAGTGTTGCATTTTTTTTAAATATAGGCTTAACGTTTGGTGTTAAGCCTTTTGTAGATTCTTTCGGACAAAAAAATTATAGCAATTCTAATAATAATAAAATAGTAATGTGAACATGATTATGAAATTAAAAACGATAATTCACTACAGAAAGAAGTTCCCATGGTGTAAACAAAGAAGGTGTATCTTGGTTGCTCTTCGGGTTTTTAAAAAGGCCCCATCAATCCTGGATCAACATCTTTTTTTGTTTAATGAAATTCCTTTATAGGCTACTCGGATTTTACTTATCTTTTTTTTATATGATATTCAGTGAGAAATATCTTTCTTCAATATCTGTTTGTTTTTTTTAACAGTAATAATAAACTATTTGAATTCTCACCTGAAGAAGTCATTCTTACAGTACAGTTTCCCTTCTCGTGAGAAACATTTCTCAGTCAAAGTGCATTTACATTCGCAGCACTGGACACATTTGATGTGCCACGGTCTGTCCAAAACTTTGAGCAGGAATTTGTCCACGATGGGATTCTCACAGCCGGCACACTGCAGCATGGTGTGCAGTTATTCCCAACCCGATATGTAAAGTGAAATATTCTCTCTCCACCGTTAAAGTCACCTCAGTGCTGCTGCTGCTGCTGCTGCTGCGCTTTTTTTTTGGGGTATGATCCAACAAATCCAATGCTTCCAAAAATGTATCTGAATAATCACATCACCATCCAGGATATCAAACACATCTATTCCACGGGACAACAATCCACATCTGGCCAACAGCTCCAAACGACAGGTTGACTGCTGGAAAAAAACATTTCTGTAGCAAAATCACAGACTGGAGATCACAGAGGAGCCATCAGGATGATCCGAAGAAATCAAAACGCCCTCCCTCTTAGAGACGATTTAACCAAATCACTGCAGTATGCTGTTTCCTGAGTGGAGGAAAGCAGAGAAAAATAACGACGGTACGTTCTCAGTGCGCTCAGTCCGTCTTTCATTTGTGTCTCATTATGTCTCTGATGAGCTCTCAGTCTGAGAGAAACGCAGAAATAATCGCACCTTGAAGCTCAGCCTATTGCCTATTCAGAAACATGTGACGTCAGCTGCAGGATCAACCTATGAGCAGCCTTCGTTTTACTCCACTGCATCTAGCCTTCTTCAACATTATGAAAAGTAAAGTAAATGCCATAGGTACTACAAAATAAAATGAGCAAATCAAACCAGCAGAAAGATCAACCTTAATTTAGTCTAAATAAAAAATATATAGGCTACTTTTTTTGTATCTTTGAAGAATACAAGAATTAAAACATAATGCGAAGAAAGCCAAAAAATGAATGCATTTTTGTCCCCAAAAAATATATCCTGTAAGCAATTTTTAAATTCAAATGTCACAATAGAAACAATGGGACAACATGAAGTTCTTCCAAGCTATCTCATGTGGATTTATGTTTTCTGGGAACCGACTGACATGGCATTCTGACTGATGAATGAAAAAAAAAAAGTTTCATAAATAAATACATTTTATAAAAAAAAATCCACTATCGTTCCCATGTTGATAACAATCATCTTTTTACAGCCTGATAGTCTCTCAGGGATAGCCTGCTGTGGGTCAATGATATCACACAAATGAATAAATGATTCGCTGTGCCTTGTGTGGGAGAATCAGACTGCAGCGTGCAGATGATTGCTACATGGTCCGCAGACCTCTCCCTGCAGACTGCACAGAGGACACATGGTCGCAAGGTTTCACACACAGATTCATGTTGTGCCCCTGCTTTATTCCACATCTCGTCTGAAAGGACAAGGGACACTAATGGTTATAATGTGTGCTGATAGGCTGTCTCCACAGATGTTATCGTAGCGTGTTGGTGCACTGGAGAGGGAGATAGCGGGTTTCCCCACACAGCCCTAGCTCTGCTTGTGACTGATATCTGAGCTGCAGACAGAATAAAACTGCATGTCTGATTTTTTTTATATTTATATATATAGATATACCAGGCAGGCAATCACGAGCTCGTAAAATGTACGTCATCAAATGATCTATTTGGTACTTGCACTGTAGATTTTTAAAAACCGTTTTCTATATGTGTATTCATGCCTTTCATATTTTCTGTTTTATTTAATTTTACAAAAACAGACACGCTGAAAAAGTATCTCAGAGTGAAGATGAATTATTCATTTATTTCATTTTAAATTCCCTGACAAAACAAGGTTTGTTAAAAAAAGTCAATATAGTCATCAGAAAATTAAGTGCTGTATAGATAGTCAAAAGTAGGCAACTTTTTTCTATCCACGTTAGTTCATATTGATTTTCAGATCTTCTTATCTGATACTAATTTCTGTAAAAACTAAGAATCACCCCTTGCGCTTTGAAACAGATAGCAAAGTGTGCCACAATGTTTATTACAGATTGTTTGACAGTGTACACTTACAGTTTTAGCACCATGGAGAGCACCTCAGAGTGCACAAATGAATTAAACACCATTAATGGCATTAAAATCAAACAAATAACTGAAAATAATAGTGTTTATGGCCTTTTCACTTGAAATGTATGTAAAATATGATCTATAGTTGTCTAGCTTGAAGAGATTCCTGTATAATCTTATCATATTTCTATTTAAGGAAAGGAACTGCATGCAACATATCCATTGTCAATTAAAAACCATGGTGACGTACATATCCCTGCTAAGAAGATTCACCCTTAAATGGTCTTCTTAAAAGTTTTGTTAAAAGTTACAATCTCTGTTTTTAGATTAGACACATGTGGTCAGGTGTTAGATGTCAAAAAGTGAAACAAGTTGTTTTATATTTGTATCTTTTATTTGTGTAGAAATTGCTTGAATAAGTGCACGACCAGGTGTTTTAGAAAAAAGCACATTAGAATCATTAGATTGCAAAGAGATCCAGCACAATGTATAATTCTCCCAGCACTGCCTTAGACTGATTACATTAAGATTAAACACTTAGGACCTATCCTACATGTATTCTGTTCCTCAATTCTGAGCTCATTTCCACTATTGTGACCGGTGACTGGCAATACAAAGACCAGAGGACAGGACCAGGGGAAGTGTTAGCTGTGTGGATGAGTGTCTCCCTCTGGGTTTGTGTGTTTCTCCATTAGAGGTGTTGATTAGCAGCCTTAGCCCGTTGAGCTGCCCCCCCCCCCGCACCTCTTCAACACAGGAGAGGTTTCTGTGCAGCACTGGATTTTGGCGGTGTGCTGGCTGTTTGTTTTGGAATGAAGAAAGCATGTCATTAGTGTTTGTTAATTGCGGCTAATTGGCCCTAATGAGATGAACAGACCACCCACTGGGACCACTCATACAAATAATTTGTAGAAAACAAAATTAATTACTAGATGCTAATTCAAGTCAATTAAAGCTGATTAGGTATAGTGGTGAAAGGGGAAAGTTACAGACCGGAGGTACATATCATGCAACACGCAGTATGACATGACAAATATCTCTGCCAACTCAAGGGGCTTTTTCTGTCCTCACATCTGTTAAACATTAAGTTGCAAAAGGGAAGTTGTACTTCCCTTAATGGTCTTTTCTTCTGTTTGAGTTGTTGAATCTCCTTGTGAAATTAGTTTTGTAAAGCTCAGCACGAGGGATATTTCTTTTACTTTTGATGTATGAGAGGGCTGAATAACTGTAATGGGAGCACTTCTTTCCTTCTTAAGTGGTTACTTTTCAAGTCATGGCATGATTTCATAAGCTGAAACATCTTGTCTATAAAGGGTAGTGGTAATTGATCTTATTTATTTTACTAATTGGACAGAGAATGGCAAATCCAACCAAGTGTCTAAAGTGAAGTGAACAAGTGTTTTTAGAAGGACCATTTAAGGTCTGTTTGTCAGACAATGTTTGAAGAATACGACAACAAAAGACCAAACACACAATCCAACACAAAGTTCTGTTTCTACAGATTGCACTACATTTATGTGTGAAAAAAAGTATTCAGCTTTAAACTTTAAAGGGAATTTGGGCTTGTGTAAAATATATCTTTAATTTCACTTCATGAAGGGAAATCTTTCCAGATAGAAACTGCACCTTTAAGCACACATTTCAACTGTTTTGTAGAGGCTCATGATTGGGCATTTAGCAGAAGACTGATTATATTGGTATCAAAATGAACTCATAACTGAGAATTATTATTTTTTTCTTCCTGCCAGGCCGATGAAAGGGTTCATCGATTAAGAAAGCCCAGAATATCTTGTTTTTTCTTCCTCCATCGTGAAATTGGATTTTTACCTTTACAGATATATTCAAAAACGTTACTGTAACAAAATACAAATTAACAGCATCACAAACATCGGCCTAGAGAGTATAACAATTTGACTTAAAATTCTCAGTCGGTGGCAGTAGCTCAGTCTGTAGGGACTTTGGTTGGGAGTTGGAGGGTTGCTGGTTCAAGTCCTGGCACAGACCAAGTCTGGTAATTGACCTAGTAGCTGGAGAGGTGCCAGTCCACTTCCTGAGCACTGAGGTGCCCTTGAGCAAGGTACCTAACCCCCTCACCAGCTCAGGAGTGCCCACTGTGAGCAGCCCCCTCACTCTGAGACCTCTCCATCAGTGCATGTCCATCATATCATGTTTGTGTCTTTCAGCCTATGTTTGTGTAGCATGTTAACTAGACAGAGTGTAAAAACCAATTTCCCCTCACGGGATCAATAAATTATTATTATTAAAATTGAACATGGAAATTACAGGAATGTCGTATTAGACAGCATTTGTTTTAACAAGAGGAAATCTAATGTGTTAAAGGGATGTTGTATCAGACTGCATTTGTTTTAACAAGATATACCTACGTCACATTTAATTGAGTAAGAGGAATAAAGCATTAGTTTCTGTAGCTTGTGTCAAGCACATATCAATTTCTGGCAAAGGGACATACCACTTGACCATTTTTCCTTCTCTGTGCCAACTTTCCTGTGCTTGGTGTTATGTTAACAGCGCTCAATACTCTGCTAATCTCTCTGAACAGTCTGTGCCGCTTGACGCAGGTAGGAATTAAAAGCCATTACCAATTGCAGTCAGGTATCAAAATCTCCATAAATGCACATCTGACTGCCAGAGAGTGAAGAGTTATTCACATTTACAGATACAGACACCGACCTGTCTTATTCTACTGTACCAGCCATGCTTATTTGAATTATTTCAACACCTTAAAATGAACATCAATCATGTTTCTCCCTAAATTTTCCATACTTTTACCCCACCAGAACACAAAGGAAGTACAGGGGTAATTCTCCCAAAGAATATCTTCGGTCTCCAAGAGAACAAAGTCTTTATTGAGTTAATGTAAAAACTCCCCGGTGTACAATCAAACAGCTTTGGCGGTAATCAATCCAGAAATCGATGCTGCCGATCATGGGTTATTTCAAGGTTTAGACACCATCAGAATTCCCTCTACATTTGTCAGAGCTGTATGGAAGCAGTGACATAGTCATTATAAACACAAAACAGGAATATCCATCAAGAGTCTATCACATTTTTGGAGTAAGTCACAATCACATTTTTTGCAAGAGTAAGCACGGTTCTAAGGAGGGGTATAGGGGAGCTGCAGTGGAAGACGCACAGAAGGGTAAACCCATCACATATGAGGGGACAGTGGGGGATCTGCCTTAGGGGGGCCGTTCAGTGAAAGGACTCCAGGGACGAGAGTGCCCGCAGCCACGCTGATGATGGTGATTGATGCAGCCACAATTCAGACACCTCAGACGCTGCAGCAAATTAAAAGGCTATTTTGTAAAGTTGTAAAGGAGCAGAATGGCAAAAGGGGGAGCCCCCTTCCTCCCCCCCCCATCGCCTCCCTCTCCCCTCCTCAGCACCATCAGCTTCTGTTTAGTTTCCTCGGTGTCATCAGTCCCTGAGGGAGGAAAGCTATTACAAGCCTTTCACTCTCGCTTATACTGGATACTCAGACTGTGCTGCTTGTGCACATATGGGGACTGTGTGAGCAAGAGTGTGTGTGTAAATAGGGATCCATGCACAAGGGAGAGACTGCAAGGCTTCC